CTCCCACCCCCCTCTCTCATTTTATTGACGTCGCACTGGCACGTCCTGTTCCGACACGCTGACGGGGGAGGGGCTAGTAGTGCCTCTCAGGTAGAAGTTTGTGTTGACAAACTCAATAACAAGTCTGTATTTTGTTGTCCCATACATGCCAACCTCTTCTGACGTTTACCAGCATAAAAAGCCTCAAAAATCCGTAAATTTTGCAAAAGATCCATACAACCCACACCCGCAGGGGTGGGGGTGTGTCAGCCTCACTGAGGACGTGAAAGCACCTGCTGTGAAGCAGGAGGAAAGGAGAGCGGAAAAAGTACAAAACTTAATTCTACCGGCAGAACAGGTTGGAAGATGGCTGTTTAATGTTATTTGTTGTTTTTTAAATCATCCCACAAGCTCTGACATGTTAGATAAATTTGAAAATGTTTTGAAAAAATCTGCAAGACTTGAAAAAATCCGTGAGATTGCCCTATACGTCTGTGTACCTGCAAAATGACATAAAATCCTTATAACTTACGGACAATCCATACAAGTTGACATGTACAGTATGTTGTTATTTATTTACTTTCAGGGAAAGCAAATAAATCTATGTTTACCACAGTACCTTACACTGTCAAACTTGTTTTTAGGGGTTCAAATTAGGGTGGGTGGGACATAGTTCGAGGGGGCTTCGAGTCGCCTAGGGCAACAAAATAGCTACGGGCAGCACTGCTCCGATCTGTCTGACAAAATGGAGGATGAGGAAGATCTTTACTCTGAGATGCAGCATTAACTCTCACAGCACCCTAAAGGTACACACCTAACTGCAAGCCTGCAGGAGCCAGGTGGCGGATAAAGGAATGGGGTGGGGGTTAATTGAGGTTTAGTGCGGTTTGAATCCACCACCTGCAGAGGAACCTGTTACTTATCTCATGTTTCACAACCAGGCCAGTCAGTTGCTTTGCTGGCTGAACTCCCATGCCTCGTGTTAGCCCAGCCTGCTTCTCCAACCCCCTCAACCCACAAAGCCCTCGCTGCTTTGTTCATTCTGGGCTGACCCCATGGGAATGGCTGTTTGTAAATGTAGAAAAAAAAGTAATGCATGTAAGAAAATAAGGTTTTAAAACTGGAAGCTTAACATTTTCATGGTTTGCTTATCATTTTAAGACTGACTTGTTATGCCCCATCTAGGAGCAACCAGGATGTAACAAAAGGTGTAAAAATTCCCAATCTCTGCTCCATTCAACAAAATAAAAACAAGCCACAGGGAAACTGATGAAAAGTGTGATTTTTATTAACGGTGCTTGTGTTTATACAAAACTGGAGTGTCTTCACTTCAGGGTGAGCCAAAGGCCAAAATAACAAACAAAACGAATCTAACTAAGTTTTTACCCCTTTACCTCAAAATAAAATGAAAATAAAATACTGGCTCTTACCTTCTTAATTACCCAAAAACAGGAGAAAAATATGTTTAAAATAAATGGCAGTTCACCCCTACGAAACTACTTTTCTTAGTTAAACAACTCTAAAGGCTGACGTGGCGCATCGGTCAGCAGGCAGGTTGGATGGCGCAGAGGAGGGTGAAGCTCTCGACGTCATCGCCTCTRGACTAATCTTTATGCAGTTTCCTCATCTGGAGGAATCCTCGTTCAGCTCCTAYTCTCAATCCTCCAATCACGGACGGCACCTGGAAACTCATTTGCATACTTAACCACCGCAACACACACACACACATTCAAAACAAAATACGACGGCAGTCGTAACACCCCCTTTCCCAAAGAATTAAACATCTCGCGTTAAATTTTTCAACTCCACAGACCGAGGTAAGGCGTCTAACACGTTCTTCCTTACCCTTTTTGTGGTTGATTTGTAAATTAAAGTCCTGCACTAAAAGAGACCAACACATACGTCTGTGGTTGGAGTCATTCTTCTGGGAAAGAAAAACAAGTGGATTATGATCTGTGAATATTTGGGCAGGTTGTGAGCTAGATCAGATGTAAACTTCAAAATGTTGTAAAGCAAGTAATAATGACAGTTTCTTTTTTATTGTACTGTAATAATGCTCGTGTTTGTTGATTATTTGAAAAGTAACAATCAGGATGGTCCAAACCTTGATAATCCTGCAGAAGCACAGCTCCCGCACCACACGCTTTAATCAACTTCCAACTTAAATGGAACAGCTAAATTCGGCGCAGCCAGCACTGGCGCACTACACATTACGGCTTTAGCCGACTCAAATGCAGCTTAGCAAGCAGGAGACCAGACAAATGGTTCCAGTGGGCTAACGAGCTTTGTAAGCAAACTTACATCAGAATTTTTACAAAACCCACGATAGAAGCCACACATTCCTAAGAAAGAAAGAGTGCCAGCCAGCCAGAGAGGGAGCAGTAAAGGTGAAACAATGCTACCTCTACTGGCCCTTCTACATCAATATTTTTTTATTCAATTCGTCATCAATGCCTGTTTAGTGTCCCAAATTGTTGGTGCAGAATATAAGTACTGTACAATTTTTGGCTGAGCAGCTGTAGTAATCTACACTAACCTACCATCTTCTGTTTCAGGACCAGGTCCGCTGACATTACTTTTGTTTTATGTGACAGGAGCTCTTTTTGTACTTTGTCCATTTGTAAAGTTGTTTTTAAATGTTTATACTTGATTTTCAGACTGCCTTTTTTGTACATTTAACTTTATAATCCAACAGTGCAAGCTTTCTCCATGGCATCTTTAAGACCAAATTGTTAAGTCTGCAGTTGTGTGCTAGCTTTGACAAGAATTATTAGCCTATACGGATGGTTACAAGTTATTGTGTGGGTGTGCATGTGCTATATTTTTTTAAAAAGAAAAAAACCTGAATAAATTTATTATTTTGTAATGCGTGTCTGATTTGCCTTGAAATACTAGAGATGACTTGCACACAAGCTCAAATAACAGGTTTATTTAACATTATTTGCTTATCAGCCTGGCTGACGAGCCTTTAAGCGTTACAGGTTGTTTAAACTCTGCACTGTGAAGTATAATACAACCAAGAAAGATCACCTAAAAAAAAAATTCTATCAATCTTTACTGCCCCTGCAGGGGAACATAAAAACTGTAAAGACATTTAACTAAAACCAATCTCAAGTTTAAACTGGTGATAAAAGAAAAATGTTTCAAATGTTTGAGAAACTGAGTCTCGCAGAGTCAACTAAACTTAGAATGTGTTACAAACAAACAAACTAGCCTTTAAATAGGTCTTCATTGGCCTGAACCTGCTAAACATTTTTTTTATCTTTCTTTAAAGATAGAACAGGAAGTCATCCAGCTTCACACTGGGCTGCTTGTGGATACTCTGTCCCACGAGGAAGGCCAGCTTGTGGGCGTACTGGCAGGGAGCAGGCACTCTGATGATCCCCTGAAACATAATGGAAGATAAACAACACAACAAACATGATTACAGAGGCAACACTAAGTTGGAAAGAAGTTACAACTAGTTAGCAACTGGTATTGCTCATTTTCATAACGTGGTATGACCTTTAGAAAATACCAGGGTATACGATACTGATCAGAACGTGTGTCAGTAACATGAGGTGTCTTCTGAAATGTTTGTCCCAGTGTTCATATGTGCTTCACCTCACTTGACTCATACTGTCAAAATTATTTGTTTATATCATCATCATCATTTTGATACCGAGGTTTAACAAAATACCTTCATATCACACAAACCTAGTTAAGGCCCTGTCACACTAGACAACTTGTGAAACATTCATGTCTAAATTGTTAATAAACATTATATATTTGATCAATTTGTTCGATTACATTATGTACATGCCGAAAGCTTCCAGCTGACTTTTTCAATTTCATCTTCAATGTAGATGCCTTTGAAATGTTCACAAGTTGGCATACGTTGTCTAGTGTGACAGGGCCTTTACAACAGGGTTTTCTGGAAAACAAATTTCTTTGAGTAAATCATGGATATTTTGGTCATAAGAAATATTCAGAACATACTAAAATGTAAGTTCATATCACTAAGGATTCATAAAAAGGGGGTATGTATCAAGATTTTATCGATACTACTACTACTATTGATATTGCTTAGAGCTGTTATTTTAAAAGGTCCTCWTTGATGCTTTTCTGTGGGAATAAACAAAATTTTTTAATATGGAATGCTTTTATTTTAGAATATAGAATGTACAATAAAGATGCTTAATTTTTATTTGCACATACAATACAATTTTATTTCAATCTGAAATGCATTAACTGCATGTCAGTTTTTTTTACAATTATATGCAAAATGTAGGCAGATATCAAATTTTTTTATGACAGTCTGAGCATGACAAATCAAGTTTAATTTTTTTTTCAAATCCAACCTAATTTTTTTCAGCATGAGGTACTTAATCTGAACATATTTAATGGTTTTCAATGCAACTGCAGTCTTGAGTTGAGTTGCTTTTATCTGACTTGCATTACTGATGTGGGAGTGAGTGGAATGATCCACTTTCCTTGAGTCGTGCAGGTTAAATCTTGTAGCTCTACACGTCCTCAGATACACAGAACAGAAGCCCAGTTGTCTCATCTTTATTACTTTTTAATTTTCAATGTCCTGGACGACTGATAATCCACAGATAAATATGATAGTAACGTTGAGCAGTTTTGTATCGTAACAATGCTTTAGTTTTAGCACGTCATTTCATTAAATTCAGTTTATTGATATAGCGCTAAGTCCCAACAAACATTATCTCGGCACTGTACACAGAAAATAACTATCAACCTAAAGAAGCCAGCAATTCAAAACACAAAATGCTGCACCATGCTCAGCATGTTGTCAGAGGCTGGTTCAGATATAAATACTGAACCTAACAAGCATGTCAGCCAGTTATTTTATTTACTTTTGTTGCACATCAGAATGGACATGCTAACATGTAGCATTCATGTTTAGCTACGTCTGTAAACACCATGATGAATGCGGCTTCTAGGGCTGAAACGATTCCTCAAATAATTCGATAAATTTGATTACAAAAAAAATTCTTGAGGCAAATTATCTGCCTCGAAGCTTCATAAAAAAATAGAAACTGTTAGAATCAGCACACTTTCGTCTGGCCGGAATGTTATTTGCATTACACAACGCTACGACGTTAGCGCTTTGGCTGATAATTACACTGTCGGTGTATCTGCTGTCGACACGTGTATGCTTGCTAAGCGCTATATTTAGCTTTAGAAGAAGATGAAGAGTGCCAAAACGAAGCACCCCAAAAAACGACTATTTGTTATAAAAAATATGGGACCATTTAAAACGTCCTCGATGTTTCTGCACTGGAACTGTACTGACTAATCATGGTGACTACTGGCAGGGTTTTATTAAACAGTGTGTAAGTTGTGCGATAAGTTTGTCAGATAAAAATAAAAGCACAGCAACAGGTTGACAGCTTGAGCTGAAACCAGGGTTCATGCAGGTTTCAGTTAAGTTAAATTTAAGACCTTTTAAAGACCTTTTAAGACCATTAGTAATGACATTTAAGACAGAACCAATGCATTAACAGAAACATTCGAAAGGTCCCAGAAATTTTAATATAGAAACCTTTTTATTGCTATCAATTTAGCTATTAAAAATATTTAATTTTAATGCAAGAACACTACATTATTTTAACGAAACGGTCGTATCTATGAGACCTTCATATCGACTGCTGTGGACCGCTTCCAACTAAATGCAAGTCTCATTGAAAACACACTTTCCCATGTTTAAACGACAAGCAGTGGACATGACTGAACTTCTTTGTTTTTTGGGCAGGTGAACAAGCTACTGTATGCAGGGGGTTGTAGCGGCAAAGCGGTCGAAAACGTGGAAGTAAAACTGTGCCATTTCTTGCCTGCAGTTATCACGGGATTTGTAGTTTAACCACGTTCAAAGACCAGTAGAAAAGAAAACTTAGCACTTCATGAAGACAGATCACATCAACCTCTGATTACGGTGCTTCACTCTGTTTATTTATGCAGCCAACACTTCTCGGGAATGATCTTAAGTTAAAAAACTAAGACTTGACAAAATTTAATTTAAGACCTTGGATGAAAATCTGGGCGTTTTAAAGACGTTTTAAGGCCTAAAAATTTGATTTTCAAAATTTAGACTTTAAACCTTTTAAGAGCCTGCACGAAACATGTGAAACATATGTATTTGATGATATGCTTTTATCTTATTTTAAATGAGTGGTGAATATTTCAAGTTTAAAAGTATTTATAGAAGATAGGATTTTTTTAAATTATTTGCTGCTGCTTTATGACTTTAGCCTTCATTACTACTGTCATATTTGTTTGTAGTCAAGCAGTCAAGACTAAAACTTTTATCGCCTAAAGGGCTCAACACACGGGAAGTGACAAACTATAGCGATTAACGGCTGTCATCGCAGCCTGGGTGAAATCCAACACATGAGACACGATAGCGATTGCAGCGTTGCGAATCGCGCTCAGGTTGCTTGTCTTCACGAAATTTGATTGGTTCTTCTACTGCTTCTTGTAAAGTTTATTGGTGGTTCACAAAAATGGGGGGTGTGCATTACGGACGTGTAAACTAAACAAATCTTGCGATGCTAATGATATTGAAAAACAAACACACARCAAGATACAATTTTATGAGGAAAAACTTACCGGATAACTTCACCCTGGTGCCAATAAATTCCCACAAAGCTTTTTAGTAATCACTTGGTGAAAGTGTTAGCTAACTGCAGTGTGTAGCATACTCTCCGCTCATCGGTCAGTCGATGAAACCCTCGCTGATTGGTTGTACGCTAAGCGACAGTGACAAAAATTTAACATTTTTCAACTTTCATGTCGAGTCACAAGCTCGCGCATGAATGTCTACGTGTACGAGCGCAAAATTTCACATGCACTATTTTCGCCGGTCGCTTAGCTGGAGGAGGGCAAGCGATTGTCGCCTCATCGCACAGGCTCCATAGGAAATGAATGGAGAGCGAGCGACGTCGCCTCCCGTGTGTCGAGCCCTTAAATGGGAACCCTGCACCAACCTAATAACAGTAGGCCTGTCGCGATAGACAATAAATCAATTAATTGCACGATAACTTTTTTTGAGGTTGGTAAAAAAAATGAGGTCGATAAGTTTCATTTTCCTGCTTGTTTGTTTACTTCGTCTCTCTCCCTCTCTGTGCTCCGSTGCACAGGAGCTCAGCTGACTCCTCCCCTCCTGTTTTCTTAGTGTGGGAGGAGTCAACTGCCGCTTTAGCGTGAGAGCTCGTAGCAATAACAAACTAAAGAAACGTTTCAAAGCAGAACGCGTCTGCTGCAATGTCGGAGCACTACAGCCTGAATTTCGCTGTGGAGGGAGGGAGGGAGAGAGAGAGGGAGAGAGAGAGAGAGAGAGCGAGAGAGAGAGAGGAGGAGAAGGGGTGGGGGCTGAAACTCCCCCAGACCCGCGACAAACTCGTCAAGACTTTACCTGTAGCTCCCAAAAATAACAGGAAACTTAAATGCACCATCTTTGTTTTAACTAAACACCCAAAAAACCTGTAGCTGTCCCAACAACTCATGAGGAAAACTCTGAACTGTCTGATTTCCTCCCCCGCAGCGCTCTGCTCGTCTCCTCACTGACTGTCCCCTCCTCTCACACACACAGACACGTTTGTTCTTCTATCCTCATGGGGACTTTGCATTGACTTTCATTCATTTACCAGTATTTTCTATTACCATTTGACCCTAAACCTAGCCTAAACTTTACATGAGTTGTGAACTGGGCTTATGTCCATTAGAAACAGTGGGTCCTCACCAGGCTGTGTAGTTTGCTTCATCTCTAAAGACATGCTGCTCTTTAATATTGTTTATTTACTGTCTTAGTTGTGTGTGGTGTTTAATTTACATTTTGTTGTTCTTTGTTTTTTTTTTAATTCAAGTGCATTTTTTGTTAGAGACTGAGAGTCCACTTTGTTAAATACACTTACATATTACGCTTTTATAATTATTAGTTGTAAAATGGTCACCAGGCAATATTATCGCTTATCGCAATAATTTGTGAGACAATTAATCGCCCAGCAAAATTTGTTATCGTGACAGGCCTAAATAACAGTCTTATGAATTTACTGTTACACTTAACAAGTGAACTCTACAAGACTCAATTGCAACACCCAAATGTTTATATTACCTATTTTACTTATTAAATTTCTAAAAAAAAAAAAAAAAAAAAAAAAAAAAAAAATCACATTCAGTTTTTCAATCTATAATAAAGTTACATTATTTTAGATTTTTTTGTGATGGTCAAAATTATTCACTGACAGCGTGCTTTTAATTAATGCTTCCTCAAACCTCAAATACATAAATACAAGTAACAGGAGCTTAAAATGCATGAAATAATACAACTGGTTTTGTAATTTTACTTTGATTGCACCAGGGTCATCAGCAAGTGTTGATTACCCCTTCACAAAATAATTATATTTCTCATAAAATAAGCTTTAATTCAATTCAAAAATATTTTATTGATCCCAGAGGTAAATTAGATAAACTTAAGCTAAGATAAGCTTAAGTAATTACTGCAGAACATGACTTTTTATATCTGATTACGCGATTAATCGTCAGAATAATTGATAGATTAATCGATTACTAAAATAAATGTTAGCTGCAGCCCTAGTGACTTCACGTTTTTATGTGCATAAGGGTCGCATCAGCCATGGAATCCCATGCTATTAGCAGCCTCTCCACAAACTGGAGAGTCTGACAGCATAGAAGCAGCAGGCTGCAAGAGAGAAAGAGAGAGCTTTTATTCCCTAAAACAATGCCCCCCAGCTCTGGAACTCACTCCATGATCTCCATAACGCAGACTCATTGTCACAAATCAAATCCAAACTCAAAACTAATCTATTTAAAGTAGCTTATGCACRGTGATTGCAACTACACTGTGTTTAACGTAATACTTTAACTGTGTATTTTAATTGTGTTTGTTTTTTATGTTAAAACTATGTAACGTGACCTTGAGTGTCAAGAAAGGCACCCACAAACAAAATGTTTCATTATACGCAGCATGCGCCGTGTCGGCACTCATCATGTCACTATTCCGCAACGGTTAACGATACTGTTAAGGCTGGAGCTTATCTATCAGGTCAAAATTTATCACATGGAACCAGTAGTGGAAAAAAAAAAATACTGGGTGAAGAAAAATACCAATATTTACACAACCTCTGAAGTACAGCTTCTTTAAAACCACACACATTGTGTTTCAAGTTTCATAAGCAAATTTTCTATGCTGGTAAAAACTAAATTTTATGGGACAAAAAAAAAAAACAGCTTTACAACAAAGATGCATGTAATGGAGGAGTTAATAAATTTAATTGTTTAAAAGTGAATCACTAAAGTTAATTTTTAATATTCATTTACATGCACAAGCTCATAGTTTATTTTGAAGAACATCAATATTAATTTAAATTTAGAAGTAGCCCACCTGCCAGTTGTAGTACAAATGGCACAACTTGTAGGTGAGGCGTTGCATGTGATCAGGCTTCAGTCCACTGGTATCATACACCACATTGTAGTGTGTTGGTGCGACGCTTCCAAACCTGACAGACTGGCTCACAATGTAGAAGTCATACCTAAATAAAAAATCAAAGTATTTTTACCCCTTCTTACCACAACATGAATGAGACAAGAATGGATTAACACAACTTACCACTCTGGGCGAGTGACCTCTGTGTCAATGACGGTGCCTGGAGGAGGGTTGGTCACCTTGTCACCCATTTGGGTGAAAAAGCGGCTGCTGATGCGTTTCTTTACCACCACCACACTCAGCTTCGGACTACAATAAGAAGGAAAGACTGACAAAACCTGACAGATATCTAGAGAAACCAGTAGGCTGTAAAGTTTCCACAAAACTCTAGACTAAATATCACACACACAATATATGTAATTTTTTAAAACAAAAAAGACCTATAAAAAGCTATTTAAATTTGATATTTTAATATCAGTCTGAGATAGCTCTAAAAGAAGGGGATAAAGTTCAGCAAACATGAATGTACTTAAAGGGATCTATGATTAGTTGTAACATTAGACCTTATTTGATAAACTGTAAAATAAAGACAATAAAAATTCTGTAGGCTGTTTAGTTTTTAAAATTTTAAAACTTAAAGTTTAAAAATTGATTACGCGGACGGGGCCATTTTATTTACACACAAAGCATTATGGGTAAATGATGACGTGGATAGGTCATAGGTGCGAGGCTGCTAGCGAGCTATATCCACCCTGAAGGTTAATCTTGGACAATATCTGATGATCGACTCTTTTAAATGAAACCAGAGCGTTGACAGAGAGGAAAAGGTAGAAATGATTCAACCAGTAACTGAAAATATAGATGAAGAACAGAGCTGCTTCATGGAAGAAGAACCTCAGCTTAGCCTGTTAGCTTTAGCATTAGCGCCGACACTATCACCATATATACAGTATGTATTAGCTCAGCGCTACACATTCTCTCGTCACTGACGTCCTCCATCCACATGACAGAGAGGGGAACACAAAAATGACTCAGACTGCAACTGAAAATATGGATGGAGGACCTCAGTTTAGTTTGTTTGTCGCACTAGCACCGAGCTAATACATATAAGGCAATATAGCATCAGCACTAGCAGGAAGACTAACAGGCCAAGCCAAGGTTCTTCTTCCATGAAGCAGCTCTGTTGTCCTCCATCCATATTTTCAGTTACAGGCTGAGTCATTTCTACCTTCTCCTATCTGTCAACGCTCTCTGGTTTCATTTAAAAGAGTCGATCATCAGATATTGTCCAAGATTAACCTTCAGGGTGGATATAGCTCGCTCACACCGAGGACCTATCTACATCATTTGCTCAAAATGCTTTGCGTGTAAATCAGGGGTGTCAAACTCCTGTCCTCGAGGGCCGCTATCCTGCATGTTTTAGAGGTTTTCTTGCTCCAACACACCTGATTTTGATCGCTGGGTAATTAACACGCTTCTGCCCAATTTGAAGAGTTAATTCAATCACTGAATCAGGTGTGTTGGAGCTGGAAAACCTCATAAACATGCAGGATAGCGGCCCTCGAGGACTGGAGTTTGACACCCCTGGTGTAAATAAAACGACTCCGTCCATGTTAAAATATATTTTTAAAAATTATAAAAACTACACAGCCTACAGTAGTTTTACAGTTAAAATATATGCTTATCAAATAAAGTCTAATGTTACAACTAATCATGAATCCCTTTAAGTGTAGGACTTTTGTTAACAAAACCAAACTCACACGTAGTCTTGACCAATGGACTTAATGGAGTCAATGATTTGTGAAACCTCGTAGTTGACCACGCTGTGAAGTTGGCCGTCTCCAACACCATCACGATACACTATGATGCGTGAAGGCAGGCAGCTGTTGAATTTCTGGTAGTCCTTTATTGCGCCTACAAACATGTCAAGGTCACTTATAACAGATAAAGGCAAACTGTGTAAATGTGTTTCTAATGTGAAGAAAGACAAAACTTGCCAGTTATGGCCATCTTCAGTCCATCAATGATTTCCTGACCTTTGTTTTGCAGGACACATTTTGAGTACCATCTTGGAAGCAAAGAAAAAGTGTCAAGTGTGTGAGTCACACAAAGACAAGTGAGACATTACAACATCTTGTGCTAATGTATGCATTACAAAAACTACTGAACTACAAAATCAATATAACATTATAAAGGACCAGAACTCTTCCTGACTTCAGCTGCTTATCCTGCAAATATTCACCTGCTCATGGTGGGGTTGAGGCTGGCCACTAGAGCCCCAATAGATTTTTTCCCAGCAGTGGTGTCGTGGTAGCAGTCAATGCCAACAATCATCAGCTGCTTGAGCTGCATAACAAATCAAATAATGTCTTTACAAAAAATGTTTACATTTTTGTTGATTGAACACTGTTTTAAACCTAACTTTAACAGCTGAGCAAAACATTTCAAAGAATTTTACAGGAACTTGATCAAGTTGTATCTTACCATACCAAAGCTGCTTTAATAAAATGTACAATCAACCTCTATACGGCACACTTGAATTTGACAAAGCATTAGTAAGTCTAAATGCTCAAATATTTAATCCAATGCATCACAAAGTAAAAACAAGTTGACAAGAAAGCAGTGCTGGGCGGTATACCAACTTGTACTGAAAACTTTTTTCCCCTGAATACAGTTCTGGTTTAAATATCCAGAACACGTTTCAAACGTTATATTGTGCCTGCCAGTGAACTATTTTACAGGGGACACTTTTCCTTGCAGCACCGCTATGCACATTAGCAAGCCAGCAGGTTCTCAATGACTGGCCATGGGTGGTGATTCCACTGCTTATATTGATTGACTTCAAATAGCTCTCGTTTTGGGTACAGTAAAAGAAAAAGTCAAATAGTTTCTGTGATGCAAAAGAGAGTAACTTCAGGTTCGCTAAGCAAAAGCAGTGTTTGTACATTTTATCAGCTGAGCTGTGACAGAAAGAAAAAATGGTAAATGTTATAGAGCACTTTTCAAGTCCCTCCGGACCCCAAAGCGCTTTACACTAACAGACATTCACCCATTCACACTCACATTCACACACTGATGATGGCAAACTACACTGTAGCCACAGCTGCCCTGGGGCACACTGACAYAGGRGGGGCTGCCATGCACCGGRGCCACCGGACCCTCTGACCACCATCAGTAGGCAAGGTGGGTGAAGTGTCTTGCCCAAGGACACAACGACTGAGACGGCTGGACGGGGGATCGAACCATTGACCTTCTGGTTCCAGGACGACTCCCCTAACCACTCCGCCACAGCCGCCCCAAAGCTAAAAATGCCATCAAATACAGTGATACCGGTATAATTATTGAAAATACCATGATATATTGGAGTCATACTGCCCAGCACAAGAAAGTGTAAAAACACTTGTTGAAACCAGCAAAAAAAATTTACTCAAAACTCTAAAGAAAATTTTAACTAACAAGGCCTTTCACTGCTCATAACTTACAGGGATGTCCACGCTCCAGAGTTCACCTCCCATTTTGCAAGCCATTTGCAGTGCAATCTTTGTTGCCACAGTCATGAGCGCCTGAGGTCGGCTGAGGGTACGAGCCACCACACACTGGCTTGGGGTGGGGCAGTCGACACACAGGTACTTTTTAACACTATCATACTTGTCCTTGCTGTTGTTGGGAAGTATTACCACCACCTAAAAAGAGAAGACGAGAGGTTTTAGTAATGTTCTGGGTTGTAATGTTGCCAAATATTTTTAAGTTATTAAAATAGGACTTCAGCACAGTAAAGTTGAGCTCTGCATTTAGTAGGGAATAAACCAAACCAAATCAATAATATATGATTCATTTACATCGGGGCAAAATGAAAATTGATCCACATTGTCATCATATGCCCATCTAAAAACAACCATTTGTTAAATGTGTTAACCTCCTCTGGAAGGGAATGAGTTAATGGCAAGAATCTGCAAGAGTTTTGTTTTGGTGGTTCCGGTGTGGAAGAAAAATTATTGCCGTGAAATAAAACAAAATAAAAGCATTGTATTTTGGACATTAAAAATGGGCAGATGATATTGCCTCACATTAGTCCCAGACTTGTGAATTGAAAACATATAGTGATAGACTGTGAGAAATATACTGTCATCCAAACAAAGATGTATCATTTTGATAATTCTGGTGATTTACACCTAGTATTTAGGCTGATCTTTTGCACAAATTAAGAAATAAAAACTAAATTTATAGCTTGGTAAAAACCAGACCCTGTCCTTCACTTTGCTTTGTATGAGGGTCTGGGCTCTCAGCTATAGAGAAGRGATTCTTGCTGAAGGCATGGCCTCTACTGAAGTTTAAAATGATTGGATCGGTTGGCCGTGACATATGCGTACCAGCTCCACTGTGAAGGAGGCTAAGCTAAAAAGCTAACCGGAAATCGCGTGCGCTGCAAAGAACTCTGAGAGGAGAAATATACTGAGCCGAACGAAACGACTGTAAATGAGAGCTGCTGCTTTATCAGACAAATTTAATTTAATTTGGAAGCCTTATCAACACAGACTGGTTTCATTCACTTCCTCCACTGCTGTACGCTAAACTAAGTAGCAGACACTGAGCAGAAAATCGGCGTCCTTCAAAACTCCTTCTGTTTGCTGATTGGCCCAGGTAAAATAAAGTACAAGCAGACACTGCGCAGAARATAGACGTTCTGTTCTGATTGGCCCCCAAGAAATGCTCCCGAAGAAATCCTTATCTAGGGGAGAAATCCCAGACGGAGCAGTGAAGGGAAACTAGAATTGAGCAGAACTGCATAGGAAGCCAAGGGCAAGGCTAATAATTTTGTCAAAAAAATAAAATAAAATAAAAAACCCTATGTTTGTAGTTCATTGAAAACTGAAACAAATTACTGGTCGCAATAAACCAGCAAACCACCATTACAATGTAATTAAAGCAGTTTCTTTTTTACTATTACAATATTCAACACCTATCAACAAGTAAAGCCTCTCTGTGTAAAATGATTTTAAAAGCATGAACTCCCTGAGAGGAAAAAAAGTGTATCTCACCCCCCCCCCCCCCC